GGGGGGGTAATTTATGCAACATTATTACTATCATAATTATACGTTCATCTCTATGCAGCCCATTAGCCAAAGCACTCTGGGCAGTTTATATCAGCATAATCGCACCCTCCTGCCCATGTTCCCCAGCAAGTATGTACTGCCTCTCGTAGGTGTGCTGATGCTTAACTCTCTTCAGCCCCTTATTTTTGTCTGACTTTCTGGGCTACATCTGCATGGCAGGAGAAATTGTCCCAGAGGGAAATGGGGCATCTGCCTCTCCCGGGAAACCAGCCACAGCCTTCCCCCCTGCCCTGGTCCAGGAGTACATGCAGTAGACATGAGGAGGTACAAACAGCTGTCTAGAATTAAGGCACCCCTTTATTTTCCATCTGTGTGCAAAACAGATTGCCAAAATAAAAGCAACTGGTTACTTGTGCATGAGTTTAAAATTTATCATCATGCCTACCGATGCAGGTGTTTCGTACCATGATGAAATTGCAACTGAAAAGCCAAAACTCCCTGGAGAAGACCATCATGCTAGGGAAGGTTGAAGGCAGAAAATAGGACGTTTTGGAGGCTGATCATTCATAGGGTTGTCATAAGTTGGAGATGACTTGCTAGCGCATCGCAGCATAGCAGCTGTGCTATCATATTGCAGTGGGGTGCAGTGGTGAAGAGCATGGGACTGGGACTCAGGCGATCTGGGTTCGAGTCTCCGCTCAGCCATGGAGCCAACTGGGTGACTTTGGGCCAGCCACAGACTCTCAGCCCAACCTACCTCACAGGGTTGTTATTGTGGGGATAAGATGAAAGAGGAGAATGATGTAAGCTGCCTTGAAAAAGGCAGGATATAAACCAGAAAATAAGTAAATAAAATAAAATAAATATTGGTAATGTGTAGATTCTGGCCTGAAATACAGAAATTTCACATACAGATGATGTGAAATACACATCACACATATTGGCGATGTGTAGATTCTGGCATGACACTAGATCATTCTGGAAGTTCCTTATAAGCCATCCTTGCACAGACCTAGAACCATTTATTACTGCTCAGCCTAGCCAATCCTATAGGTTTTTGGGGAGCCTAAATTTGGATCCAAATATGAGAGGGATTGACTGAATAAAGGAAGCCACAGGTGTGAGTTGAGAAGAACTGATCAGGGCTGTCACAGACAGGAGATTTGGGAGGGCTTTTATTCAAAGGGGCATCATAACTTGGAAACAATTTGATGACACAACAACTATGAGGGATGTAACTTCCCTATAGCCTGAAGTGCCTGATCCTGCCAAATCTTGGAAGCTAAGCAGGGCCAGGCCTGGTTGAAAGCTGGATGGATGACTTACATGTCGTAAAATACCCAGAGAGCTTCAGCAATGGGCAATATAATGTAAAATAAAATCAGCTTTTCTACTAACTTTAGGCAGGAGGGATGGATTTGCAGCCACCATGGCTGCTTTGGCAAGATAGAACAAGGAAGGGAGGAAGGACTGTCAGGAATGGACAATTTTGTATCTTCTGGGAAAGAAAGCGAAGTGGATGTTTTCACTGTATAGCAATACCCCTGAATTTTCTAGTTAAGATTAGCAGTGCCACTTTGATTACCAGATTACAATGTCTTTCTTCAAAGGTCACAGCTATGAGCACAGTGCAAGCAAATGCCTGCTTCAATGACGTTCAAAGGAGGTACAACAAAGTCAAAAGTTAAACGTGTTTGAGGCATTTGAGGCTCTCCGGGGATCCGTAAGAGCTTAATGGAAAACAATGCAGTACAGTGAATCCCACACACTTCAGATCAGAGGCCTTCTCTGGCTTTCATCCTGAGGTGCTCTTTCGTATTCAGCTCAGGCCTCAGGACAATGATGTAGCACTTGGGGATGAAGATGCAGCCCAGCAGCCCAGCACTGGAGGCCAAGATGGAGAAGACCTGCACAGCCACCATGTACTTGCCCTTGGTGCTCAGGTAGGAGGGCAGAAAGGACACCCAGACACTGCAGAAGACCAGCATGCTGAAGGTGATCAGCTTGGCTTCATTGAAGGCACCTGGCAGCTTCCTGGCCAGGAAAGCCACCATGAAGCAGATGGTGGCCAGGAAGCCCATGTAGCCCAGGGCAGTGTAGAACATCATGAGAGACCCTTCGTTGCACTGTAGGATGATGTGTCCAGGCTGGGAGTGCATGTCAGAGTCTGGGAAGGGTGGAGAGATGCCCAGCCAGATGGAGCAGATGACCAGTTGCACACTGGAACAGGAAATGACAATGAAGTTGGCCAAACTCTTTCCCAGCCACCTTCTCACCTTTTTCCCTGGCTTGGTGGCCAGGAAGGCCAGCACCACAGTGACTGTTTTGGCCAACACACTAGAGGTGGCAACTGAGAAGATGATGCTGAAGGCTGTTTGTCGGAGGAGGCAAGTCAATTTCTGCGACTGCCCAATGAAAAGGAAGATTGACCAAAAGGAAAGCAGAAGGGAGATGAGGAGAATGTAGGAGAGGTCCCGGTTGTTGGCTTTGACTAATGGGGTGTCCAAGTATTTGATGAAGATTCCTAAGACACAGCCTGTTGTGAAGGAGCAGAATAGGGCAAGGGAAGCCAGGGAGATCCCCAGAGGTTCTTCATAGGACAGGAAGCTCAGAGACTTGGGGACACAACAATCCTGGTTGGAGTTTGGCTTCTGATCTCCTGCGCATGCAATACAATGATCTGCATCTGAAAGGGGAGAAAGTGACTGTAGTTTCACTAGCAGGCATCTGATGCTATCCAGAACAGTCTGTTTTATAGTACATTGAGATGGAAAATTTAGGGATATGCAGGATTTGAGGAAAAGCCAACCGGGTTCACTGATTCCCAAGGACCATGACTTCTTTTTCTCATCCTCCACGGGCTGCTTCCACATCACTTGCTTTTGCAAATTATCTTCACAGTGTGGTAGTTACCATGCCTGCCTGCCATACAGGTCAGCAGATGTGGAGTGTTCTGGAGGCCACCTCAGGTGCACAACTCCCAGGCTTTTGATGTTGAAGGAAGCATAATCCCACAAGAGCAACTGTTGTGGGGTGGGGGGGACTCTCCCCTCCCCTTTTCTTCTCCAGTAATGGTGGATGAAACCTTCACACACCTTCACACACACATCCCCATTAGCTGATAACCAGCATGAATCAGAGTGACAATCCCTTTGATGTTGGGAGTAGCATCTTCCCATGTGAAGAGCTGAATCCAACTCTTGGTCCTCTCTCTTAGCCTGGCACTTCCTGATTGGCTCTAGGAGACCCCCTTGCTCTTTTCCCCTGCCCTCTCCAGGACAGTCTGTTTCCCACTCTCTGTCTAATCCTCTCATTTATTTATGTATTTATTAGCAATATTTATACTCTATCTTTTATGAGACATTCCAGGATGGCTTACAACAATTCCTGCCCACCCACCTTTCACACTCAGCCTGTACTTGCTATCTGGGGAGTCCTGAACTTGTCTGGTGAGGAACCCCTTGCCACAATTGTGGGAATCTGGTGAGACAGCTCCCTCTGTTGCTCTTTCATTGGACAGAATGGGCCACTATGGGAGGAGGGAACACGGAAGTCCAACTCAGTTCTGGATCCCATTGACAGACATTTTGCTACTTGGTTCAAATGTGTTTCTCTAGAGTTCCTATTCAAATCCTCAGGTAATGGACTGTGTGGTCATTAACCTATCCTTTTGTAGGGTAAGGAAGGTTCAATGGGTTTGTAAGATCTTCTGGATTTTGGAGGAGTAAACCCAGCCTTCCTGACTATTTGAATATGTTATGACCTGGCCTTAAAAGGAGGGATCTTGGTCTAGTTTTCTCAAATGAGGGTTGAGTTGCCTGTTGGAGTTCCTTCCTGGAGAACCCATTCCCAGATTAGGGTCAGAGGCTGAAAACGGTTCCACACCCTAGCAGGAGTTCCATGCCCAACCATCGCAGGTGTTGCTAGCAGATATTAAGTGAAAGAAGCTGTGAGATAATCTGAGATACAAAAAGGGGGTTGCTTGAAGAAAGAGACCTTTCAACCCATATATCTCTGCCTTTTGCACAACAATAATTCTGTCTTCCTTTAAGTCAATGACTTTGAAGGGGACCTTAAATTTTCTTGAAGATGGCTCAGCCCTTGTGGTGAAAACTTCTGGTCTTGAGATGGACATGATTAAAGTCAGTAGAAGGGTTAGTTAAGTCATTCTGCACTGTATTTCAAAGATTGTCCTCCAAAGGCATTTAATTCAACCCATGTTATGAGTGAGATTAGAAATACAGAAGCCAGGAAATAATCTATGCAGAAAAACATCTTTCAAAACTTCATTGAGTAGATAAACGTGGCCAACTAGATATTTATAACATTTAAAAAATATTTATCATTTTACCTTCATCAAGTCTATTGGTGCGGTATATAAAATGGAACAGCAAATGATCAAGATGAATACCAGAATTATAGGAAAGGAGACCAAGATTAGGGAGGATGGAAAAATCCAACATTAAACCAGGATTCAATCTGTGTACTTGAATGGTGGCAAAAGGAGACCTCTTGCTCAAGGACTTTCTCTTGAAAGGGTATCCAAGAATACCAGTGGGGAGCTGGGAAGTGCATTCCATCAGTGGGATCTGGATCCTCAATCTGTCCTCTAGTTAAACACTGAATGTTCAGATGCACACAAGTCTTAGACCTACTTGACCTTGAAAAGTGGTCCTGTCCCCTGAAGACACCTACCCTCCTGAGCAGAGATGGTGCCTTCTGGACAGGGCACACAAGCGTAGCAGCAGGGCGGCTTCCCTTCCAGAACCTCCTTGGCAGATCCAGGGTGACAGCTCTCAACACACCTGGATTGAGGCACTGTCTGGAAACAGAGAGAAGGAGTATCAAAGAACAGCTGGTCAGGATCTCTGTGTGTATGGAAATGAATCACCTAGTTGTGGAATGATTAAAAAAGAGCTCCTTTCCCAGGGAGCCCTGGCAGTTCCTTTTCCCAAGGGAGCAATTCTCTTGTCCTCTGGAATGAGATTAAGTCATCTCAGATTTAGGTTTCAAGGCTGACAGCGTCAGGGAGGGTGAGATGAGTTTTTCTTGAGTGAATCCTGCTCATTGCCAACCACTGCTTTGAAGTTGCACTGAGGAAAATAGATTTCCTCATCTATTCTTACTCTGGAATAGATGACGTGGCCTCTGCACCCCTTTCTTGTGGGCCTTGAAGTGTGCCCTGGCAGTTCTATTGGATTCTGTAGTCCATGCCCTTCCTGAGCAAACTTCCTGGCTTCTCCTTTCTTCTGGGAACGTAGCGACGGAGATGGTGGAAAATGGACCCTGTCCTGGTACACATTTTTTGATGAGAAGTGCCTCAGTATTCCTTGGGACTTTCAGGAAGCATGAGGTGGATCATAGCCTGAATTTCATATGAAATATTCTACAGGTTATTTGAACGTAATGAATGTCAGAGTGAACTGAATGCAGAAATCATAAGCCAACCTGGTTAAACTGCCTGGGCCACACGATGGCCTCAGGATCCATGGTGAGCTTCACGTCCTGGGCTGCCTTTCCCACCAGGCTCCCAATGGTCACTCTACGATAGGACCCATTTGGGAGAAGAATCCAGTTCCTGATATCGTAGTTGAGCGCCAGCTGCCCGTCCTCATATAGAAACAGCCCACTCTGGGAAGCATTTGCAAACTGGACTTTTATCAGGAAGGTGTGAAACTGGAAGGACAGAGAAAAGAGCCAGCATTCAGAGAATGAGAAAGCAGGGTGGATACTTGGCTCAGTTCCATTTGCACCCAAGTCTCTTATGAGTAAGCTCAGTTGCGTGTCCAGCATCAGCTTCAGTATCTTTTTGCATTGTCACAGCCAGGACAGGCTCTCAGCTCGCCTGCCTTGGTTTCACCTTTTTGGCCAAAATGGACATACTGTATTTCTGTGGCATTCTTTGTGTTTTGCCATCCTTAGCTTTGGAAGCCACATCCAGAACCCTCACACACTGGTTGATTCACTCTGATCCAAGAGAGCTACACAAAAATACCCTACTGAGGAATGCTCACAACAGCCCGATAATACCTGGAGTCCATAATACCTGGAGTTCACTGAATATGGCATGAGCAATGTGGAAAATAAGTCCAGACTGTTTAATGTGGGAATAGACAGAAATGTTTTGAACATGGGGAAGAGTCTGGAGGGATACTTCTGCAGGAAAACCAGTACAGAAATGCACAATTCAGGAGGCCCCTTCTGACTCGCTCTGTTTCTATGTTTCTAATCCAATGGGGCTTCCCAGCACCAAATGCTCCAGCAATCGAGCAGCTAAGACACAAATTCTTGCTTGAACTCTGCTGTGAATGGCCTTCCTCCAGCAAGGAACCAATGGAAGGGTAATCAGTGTAGACTGAGGAGTGATGAGGTGAGTCCAGCTGCATTGAGAAGACTCAGTGTCAATCAAGGCATCAAGAAGAAACAAAGGGGCGAGTGGCAGAATGTGGAGAAAGCCATATCTCAGGCACTAATAGGAGCAGAAATCTCCAGAGCAGTAGCTGGGGGGTCTTGATGATCACCAAAAAAGAGGAAAAGAGGACAGCAGGTCGCACAACATGTGCAAACATTATTTTCTCCCACAAAAGTCAAATTTCCCCCTCTGGGATGCATGGCTCAATGTGATGAAAGGGCCTGAGAGCATCCAAGAGGCAAAGCAAAGAAGGGTAGATGATCTCACTAGCCTAGTCTCCTAGCAGGGTGACCCAAGGAAGAATGGTCAAAGCTGAGAGACCAGACAGATGCATCCATCCAGAGGATTGTAGAGAGCATCCCACACAAGCCAAGTGCTGCAGCAAGGGATATTGGAGCAAGAAATGCTTGTAGTTCAAGCCAGATTCCACAAGGAAGTGGCCCTCCAGGTCATAGGGCAAATATACGTTGTGCACTGGAGTGCAGGAGAGCATTCCAGGAGATGTGTCTGTGTATTATAGATTGGAGCAAAGCCTTTGATTATGTGGATCACAAGAAGTGATGGTTGGTCATGGAAGAAATGGAGGCACCTCAGCACTTGATTGCTACGATGCTTAATCTGCATCATGGACTATGAGGACAGAATATGGAGAACCGGAGTGGTTTCTAAATGGCAAGGGCACACCGTATCTGGCTATCCATTCAACCTATATAGATAACAGAAGGAAATTTGGATTAGGTTCAGAGGAAGAAGCGAATATTGGAAGAAGACAGAGAGGTGAATAATTTAGGGAAAGCAGAGGTGCCATCTGGCTGGCAGAAAGCAGCAAAGACTTACGAGTAGAAACATAGAAACAGAGTGAGTCAGAAGGGGCCTCCCGGGCCATCTAGTCTGACCCCCGGCTCCAGCCAGCTCCACTCACGGCATGCCCACCATGTGCATGTCCACCCTATCTTTGAACACCCTCACCGAAGGGGCCTCAAGCACCTCCCGTGGAAGCCCATTCCATACCCTCAGGGTCCTAACTGTCAGGAAGTGCTTCTTGGCATCTAAATGGAACCTTGGTTCCCTGAGCTTTGCTCCATTGGAGCTCATCCTGCCTTCCTCTGCAGGGGAGAACAGGTCTCTACCCATCTCTGTGTGACACCCCCTCACATAGCTGTATGTTGCCAACAGATCCCCTCTGAGTTTCCTCTTCTCCGGGCTGAAGAGACCCAGTTCCCTCAGTCTCGCCACATACCGCTTCCCCTGCAAACTGACACCAACCTTGTGGCCCTACTCTGCACTGACTCTAACCTGGCTATCTCCTTCCTGTAATGAGGGGCCCAAAACTGAGCACAATACTCCAGTTGTGGGCACACCAGAGTCATATAGAGTGGTAGTAATACCTCTTGATCTAGAAGCCACACTTCTGGCTATGCAAACGAGGGTGGCATTTGCCCTCTTGACCACCACATCACACTGCTGACCCATGTTTAGCCTGCAGTTAATAAGCGTTCTGAGGTCCCTTTCACAAGTGCTGCTCTCCAGCCACTTGTCCCCTAACCTGTACTTATGACACTTGAAACAGCTCCTGATGGAAGGTGCCAAGAAGAAAGAAGGTGCAAAAGCAGGACTGCAGCTGTACATGAAGAGAACACAAACCATGTCTGCAGAAGTGTTACAAAATTGCACTGTCCACAATGAAGACAGAATGCTGAAAGACTCCCCATGTTTCCTTCAGTCATCAATTTGAAGGAAGACTGCAGCCAAAAAAGTGAAGAAGCCTGGGATTCGAAATAGCATAGGGGACGGAACTAGAAAAGATCAACAAATGTAGAGATGTTGCACTGGAAGCCAACACCAAGATTATTCACACCTTGTAGGCTTGTCCACCATGTAAGGGTGCAAAAGCAGGAGAGTGAAGAAAGCTCATAGGAGGAAAATACACATGATCAAAGCATGGTGCTGGAGGAGAGCTTTGCAAATACTCTGAACTGTCAGGTAGACAAACCAAGATGAAAGCATGCCAGAGCTTTCTCTAGAAGCAAAAATGGCAAAACTGAGGCTGTCATCCTTTGCACACATCATGCGAAGGCGAGGGGAAATTTAAGGCAGATGAAAAGGGAAGCCAGAGAAGAGATGGATGCATTCACATAGGAAGCCACAGGCTAGAATTCTGAAAAGCTAAGCAGGGCTGGCAAGGATGGGAAATTTTTGGAGAGCTTCCATTCATGTGGTCACCATATGCTGGAGGTGACTTGATGACACATAACAAGAGCAGATGCAATTTTAGAAGTAACTATCCCAATTGAGCTAGAATTAGAGCGCATCCGTACTGTGCGAAACATTTTAAACTGGGTGTGGTGCACTGTCTGTGGGCAGGAGGTGATGAGGTGTACTTGCAAATCCTTTGGAGGATTCTGGCTAGATTTGGACTAGACAGTCCTTCACATGCAGGCCATCTTTTGAAGAGCCCAAAGGAGAAATCAGGGCAGAATTCTGGGAAATGGGACAAGTCTCCTAATGGATTTGCACCAGAAATAGGTTCTGAAATTTACCTAATGACACGGATCGAGTCTGAATTCAGGATCATGTTTCCATTGACTGATAGATTTCAATTCGGTACAATGTTGCAAAGGGAAAGGGGATACCTGCCATGGCTGCAGCCTTTGCCCTTCCAGCCTGTCTCTTCCATGCACTGTCAGCAGCCTCTTGGATTGGGATGCATAAGCGGCATTTAAGGCATGGGCCACGACTTGGACACTGTTGTAAATACTGTAGCTGTCCTGAGAAAGAATCCTCTCAATCTGCTCCTGGGACAGCAGTTCCAGGTTCTCCTTCTCTCTGCATCTTGTCCAGCCTTTCCTGGACAAGCCATGCTTGGAATGGAAGCAATGAAAAGCCGTCAGCCAAAACTGTGTCGTCTCTGCTGATATTGGACCATAGTGGTCAAAATTTATCTTTTTCTTGCTCTTCACCACAAAGGAAAAAGAGCCATGGAAGTAGTGGAAGGACTCAGGATGACCAAACACATTGATGAAGATGTCCTGAAAAGATGTTGTGATCCAGATTTTCATCTCAATCTGTTCCGTTCTCAGCCTTGTCTGTATTAAGATGAATGGATTAAAGCCATAACTAGAGTCCCATACATAAATATATACATTGACTTGTTTCCATAGAAGAAGTGGTTCACTCCAAATCAAGGGTACATAATTCATCCGCACTACTAGTCTTTTTAGAAAGGCCACACAAATTCCACTGGTGAGAAGCAGAGGAGTCAATGTTCTCAAGAACCTTTCTCCATTGTCATTGCTTGGAGCAAAGAGGCTGACCCATGTCCACTGAAAATACAGGAGCAGTTTGACCAGTCCCACAACCTGAATTTCTTCATTGGGAACCATCCAGTAGATAAAAGGAAATTGTGATTTATCTTGAAGAGCTTGAGCAACAAAGCCATAACTCATCTAGCCCAAAAAGAAAGAGGAAGGGATATATTAATGACAATATTCAGATAGTTGCTAACCTGAAAAGGATGCTCTTTAACAAATTCTCTCTTTTTGGGTGTTCCGAGGTTTACACAGGAACACAGGAACTAAGAAGGAGCCTTCTGGGTCAACTAGTCCTACCCCCGATCCAACCAGTTCTGCTTGTGTAATACCCAACATGTGGTTGTCCAAGCTTTCCTTGAACACCCTCATTGATGGGTCCCCACCACTTCCCGTGGAAGCCCATTCCATATCCAAGGGGTCCTAACCATCTGGAAGTCCTTCTTGACATTCAACCTGAATCCAGTTCCTTGAGCTTTGCTGCATTTCTCAAGGAATGCTCCATCATTTACTCCATCACAATGGAGAACAGGTCACAACCCTCCACCATGTGAGAACCCTTCATATGTAGTTATAAGACCCCCTCTAAATCTCTTCTCCAGGCTGAAAAGACCCGGATCCCTCATTGTCATTTGATATTTCATCTCCCCACCCTCCAATCCAGCTACCATCCCTGTGGCCCTGTGCTGAACTGATTCTAACCTTGTTATGACCCTCTTTTAATGTGGATTCCAGATTGAATGGGGATTGGGGTCAGGCTTGGGGTTAGTGTTCCGGCATAATAAAACCTCTGGTGGACATCATCTGGTGCAGTGGTTTTTTGTGTATTGCAATGAAAGTAGCACAATGCAACCTCAGTGAGAGGGGTTTAGTGGGGGCCAGAGAATCCAGGGCACCCCAGTTGAAGGCACCAATCCAAGGCCTGCAATCATAAATAAAGCTTCATCCTGTGAATTGCTAATGGTACCCCCTGACTTATTCAAAAAGGATGACGTGGTTCCTTTGGAACATCACTAGATCTGGGTTGATCATAACTGCTACTCAGTTGGGTTGTTTTCAGCCCTTGTTTGATGCAGTCACTGTCAGAGGGGCATACGTATGCATCGCTTCAGCTGAGAAACAGGTAACGATCATTTCCAACCACTCCCTGCAACTGCCATTCCATAAATTCCATATGCTTCCCCATTCTTGATATTTTGTTACACTTACAACCACAAAAGGAAAAAAAACCTGAATGCTACTGGGAAAAAAATCCATCAGCAAGTACATTTTTGCATTTAATACTAATGAAAATCATAATATCTTGAGTAGCAAAATGAAAGGGAGCTCACCATCCTTCTGGTCTCACTGCATCTTGCTGCATCTCAGTGTGGCTTGCCTTCTGTTGTCCTTTTATTGCTCTCCTAGATGAAACTGCATGCAGCTTACCTCCTCCCTGTTGGCAGTTCCTACCTGTGGAATTTTGTAGATACCCGACATGGCGGAAACGTGCATCGAGATGTCAGATTCAGCCCCTTCCACAATTGCCAACGGGTTCTTCCGCCCTCCGCAGCTATAGTTGGGAATGTTGCTGTCCCCTCCAGCAAGCAGGTCCACCAAGGCATTGGAAGTGATTCTCCCATGGAAGTGGGTCTCATAGACGTTGTAGCCCAGGGTGAGGTTGGGCAAGAGCCCAGGACTCTGGTTGACCTCATGGACAGCAAAGAGGAAAGACACAGTGTTCCAGTACCGGACATAGATCTTTCTTGGTATACTGGAAGAAAAAAGTGTTGAGGGGAATGATTACACACTTTCTTCTTCCATTCTTTCCAGGCAATAGACATCTCTCAAGTGTTTTTTTTTTTTTTTAATTTTCACCAAAATAGGATAATATACAAATAGAGAAGGACAAACGCTTGTCAAAAAAGGAGTTACACAAAATGTTACAAAACATGGACATTTGGAAAGAATAACCTATTGCTAAATCATATTTAAACTTCCTGGAAAGCTTCAGCTACAGGATGGTATAACAATGAAATAAATATGACATCAACAGCAACAATAATTTAGAAGCAGCTGAAAGCAGAAGGAAAACACAATAAATACCAAAACTTTCCATTAGAAATTCAAATCAGCAATAATGGAGTGTAATGCATGCTAAAATTGAAGTGTGTTCTTGTTGAATGTTCCCAGCAGTCCTGGGGCAGCTCAAGGAGAAATTAAACCTTTCCATCTCAGGTAGGAGGCCTCTTTGCCCCTTTCTTCCTCAAGGCAGCCAACAACTGCTCATATGGACAACAGAACTTCGATATCCAGAAGTGACCACGTCTCAGGTCCTTTGCACATTAAAAACCTCCTTTGTGAGGACCCAGTAGAAGTGCCAGATGTGGCCTGTACTGCACAAAGGGTGATCAGAGACATTAGAAACTGGGCTTTCTCTGGTAAAGGCTGGGGGAGATTGGACAGCTGTTGTGAAAGCATGAAATCTGCCAAGAAATCGCATCTACCTCTCAATTTTGGTCAGAGGAGGTTCAGAAAAGTTATGTGGGTCTTGATGAACAACATGCTTTGTAGCGAGGATGCCACTGATGAGCTGGTCTCCTGGCCTGTAATAGTTCTCTGCATTGCTTTGATCTCGGATCAGATTCAGGGGACATTTTGCCTCCTGCCCGTTCAGGGCTGCACTGGGCAGCAGGAACAGTGAAAGGAGCACCCGGGTTATCATTGGGGGCCCTTGTCCTTTCTAGCCCTCCATCATATCTGCTCCCTTCACCCACTAATGAGAGGAAGACAGGAAATTCTTGCAAGACCAAGGCTGCCCTGTCTTGATACATATATGGAGGTCAGACCAAAAGACAGTCTCATTTAAATTTCACAGAAGCATCCTTCTCCTGCCTGTCTCACTCGTGATTTGTAGCAGCTGAGGAGAGATTTCATGCAGCCAACTTTTCAGGCACCAGGAAACAAGTTACTTGTTTGCAATGCTTAGTTTCTTGGTCCCCAGGGCAATCTCATGAGCAGTGGTAAGAAAGGAAGAGAAATCACTGTGGTGCAGGTAATTACAAGGTGAAGGAGCATCACCTGTCAAGTTTGCTGAACTTTCAGAATGTCCTGAGCCACAGGTGGCGCGCCGGAGGAAAACATGTTTGCAAAAACTCATTGAAAGTAGTCTAGTGCCTAAGATGGGTTCACTGAAGGGGAAAGGTTATTGCCAGTAAGCCCTCACTGGAAAACATCCTTCAAATGCACTGGACTTAAGATCATGCTTTGAGAAGGGCATGAATTTATGCATGACACTGAGTGGCCACTAGTGAACATAAAGAGTGCATAGATCTTCCTTCCACACAGTCAGATGATGCTCTCACCTTGACGTCCTGCTGCCTTGTAGGGTCTTGAGGATCTGAACGTGGTCTTCCCTAGCCTGCTAGGCCTAGGCAAGACTGCAGCAATCACACCCAATGAGCTGCTTCCTCGAATTGGGAAACGTCCACTAGTCACTGCAACATCTTCGTCTTTGTTTCTTTGATATTCTTCTAATGCTTTTGGTGCTCCCTCTTCCACTGAACGGGTGCTTTGGCTTGCTGAACATCCTCGCACTGCTCCAACCATTCCTTCCATGCCTCCTTGATCATGTCCTTCTGATACTGTTTTCCCACTCTTGTTCTTCCATTTTTCCTACTTCTTGCTTCCCTTGATCTCCATCTATTAGGCCCCAATTGAATGACATTTTTAAACCTTTCCTCAGAAAGTTGATTCTATTATATTTCCTATTGCAGAAAACTATCATTTATAATAAATATCCCCAGCAATATCTTATATTATTCTTTTTAATGATCTTGATTATATTCAAATAATTTAATTTAATAAAACATTTTATCCCATCTTTTCACTAAATGTTTCAAGACGGTTTACAAAATATAAAATCAGAACAATGAAAATACAATCCATAATGCAATAATGATAATGAATAGATTATGATAAATACAATCATTACTAAGAGAATACCATCAAATTAAACCAATAATAAGCAAAAGAGAATAAACCACAACCATAAGAAAAATAAATTAATAAAATGGATAAAATAATAAAATAACTAAAACGCGCCTGTTAACTTTTAAAATCTAAAAACTCTAATTCTTAAAATGATGTTTAAATAAAAAGGTTTTAACCTGACACTGAAAAGAATATAGACTTGGTGCCAGGCGAACTTCTCTGGGGAGCACATTCCACAGTCTGGGTGCCATCTTGGAGAAGGCCCTACTCCCAGTAGATGTCCTTTTTACCTCTTTCAAGGGTGGTTCCTGGAGCAGGGCCTCTCCCACAGATCTTAAGGGGTGTGAGGGCATATAAGGAAGGAGACATTCCTTCAGGTATCCTGGTCCCAACCCATTTAGGGCTTTATAGGTCAAAAGCAGCACCTTGAATTGGGCCCGGACTTCAACTGGAAGCCAGTGGAGCAGATTGAGGACCAGCGTTATGTGAGAGTAAAGACCTGTCCCTCTCAGCAGCCTGGCAGCTCTATTTTGTACTAGTTGAAGTATCTGGACTGTTTTCAAGGGCAGGCCCATGTAGAGCGCACTACAGTAATCCAACCAGGAAGTTACCAGAGCATGAATCACTGTTGCTAGGCAGTGCTCATCCAGGTAAGGGCACAGCTGATGGACTGTAGGAAGGCACTCCTTGCCACCTGGGTCTCCAGTGACAGCTCTGGGTCAAGGAGCACTTCCAAACTGCAGACTCTGTCCTTTAGAGGGAGTGCTACCCCATCAAGGACAAAGTCAAAATCACTTACCTGTAAAGCTGAACTGTCCACCAACTGGACTTCCATCTTATCTAGACTGAGGCTCAGTTCCCTCATCCAGCCCATTACCTCAGCCAGGCACTGGTTCAGTTCAGCCACTACCTCACCTGGAGTAGATGTAAATGAGTGGTAGAGCTGGGTATCGTCAGCGTACTGGTGACTCCGCAGCCCAAACCTCCTGATGACCCCTCCCAGCGGTTTCATGTAGATGTTAAAGAGCATGGGGGACAAAATAGAGCCCTGTGGAGCCCCATGGCAAAGCTGCCATGACACAGAGCTATAGTCGCCCAGTCCCACCTTCTGGAATTGACCAGCTAGGTAGGAGCAGAACCACTGCCACGCAGAGCCTCCTACTCCCAACCCAGCCATCCTATCCAGAAGGATACCATGGTTGATGGTATCAAAAGCTGCTGAGAGGTCCAGGAGAACCAACAGGAATGCACTCCCCCTGTCTCTTTCCCTGCACAGGTCATCATACGGGGTAACCAAGGCAGATTCAGTACCATAACCGGGTCTGAAGCTGGACTGAAATGGGTCCAGATAATCAGTTCCATCCATGAGAGCTGGGCGTTGTCCCGCCACCACCCGCTCTAACAGCTTTGGAATGTTGGTGACCAATCAATAGTTGGTGTCCACCTCTGGGTCCAGGGATGCCTTCTTCAGGACAGGCTGGATCACCACCTCCTTCAAGGGGGCAGGGACCCAGTCCTCCCTCAATGAGGCATTGATTACCTCCTGGACCCAGGGACCAATTCCGTAACTGGCTTTATTAAGTAGCCAAGAAGGGCAAGGGTCAAGTAAACAGGTGGAAGGGTGTACCATCCCAAGCACCTTGTCCGCATCCTCATGCTGCAGTAACTGAAACTCATCCAATAATGATGGACCGGACAGCGCTCTGTACACTTCGGTACTGGAGTCATATCAACTGTGGAGTCCAGATCATAGCATATCTGAGCAATTTTTTCCTGAAAGTGCTGGGCAAAGTCATCACAGCAGGTTGCCGATGGTGTCAGCACATCTTTTTCCTGGTCAGAGTGTATCAGACCCGAACCACTTGGAAAAGCTCCGCTGGATGGCACTGTGAGGACGTAATGGAAGCGGAGAAGAATTGTCTCTTTGCAGCCCTCACTGCCACAGCATAGGCTCAATAAAGAGCATGTAAGTGTGTTCAGTCAGATTCGTCCCAAGATTTCCTCCACCTGCGCTCTAATCATCTCCTACCTGTTCATCGCCTGCAACTCAGGCATATACTTTGGAGCCGAGCGGGCTCTGCTAGGTGGGAGAGGATGCTTAGGAATGATTGTGTCAATTGCCCTGGTCATCTCCCTGTTCCACGATAATAATGTCTAAGCACTATACTTTGGTGACAAAGATCTTGATAAACTCCTAGAGGGGGTTCTTTACATTTCAATTGCTTCATCTCATCTCTCAATTTTTTCATAACCCTCTCCTTTGTATAATTATTAGCAAATTAGATCAGTATCTCTCTGGGGACTTTCTAGATCCGCAATTGGAACGTGCTGTGTATATTCTTTCTGTACCTTGAGCTTCCCATCTCTCATCTGGAAGGAGTGTTCTAAGCCATTCCAACACATTGGTCTTAAGATCTCTCTCTTCTGCATATGCTCATTATGAAATTCCATGTATTCAAATATTAGATTGGTGACTCTTGTTCTTCAATAAAGCCACCCTTTTCCCCAATTCTGTTAAACTTCTGAATTGATGATGGATCTCTATCCTGTTAGCTTTAGCCAACATTTCTGCCTAAATCTAACTTTTTTTTTCCTTTTCAGCTTTCATCTGTGTTAGAATGGGATCTGCCATCTCTAATGTTCTTGCTTGTTTGTTGCATTTGCCTTTCCATCTTTCCAGTTCTAGTTTCAAGATGTTTCAAATGTTGGTTGACCTTTTCAGACTCCTCTCTTCATCCTTCAGTGCCTGTCTCAAGCATTTCTCTAAGGCCTTTCATCTCCAATTCATTCTCTGTCTTGCCTTAGAATTCCGATGCTTGGACTTCCAATTCTGAAGATCCATTTCTAGTTAGACACACATTTGAAAGCTTCCAATTCACTCTTCTTGGATTTCTATGTGACTTGAGTTTCTATATCTAGATTGAGATGTTTCTGCAAGCTATTAGTCCATTCTGGCATACCATTAATCCATTAAAGCTATTTTGACATTTCAGGATTGTCATTTGCTTATTCATCCAGCAGAGGGAGTTCTTTACAACATACTCAGCCTTTTCTATCTATTTTGGCTCTAGCTGTGCTATGGACACAACAGCTTCCTTTGTTTCCATCCTTTTTTTATTTTTCCAGCTCTCTATAACACATAATTTGTCAAACATTTCTTTGTAAAGTCTTAACTTTAACATTCAGTTCAAATCAACCAAAGCTGTTGCAGAATTTTGATTCTTTTTAGCTTTTAAGTCAAACATCCAGAGTTTTTACTCAAACTTTTCTCACTCTGGGACAAATCCTCTCCCACAAAAGACTGAGTTTATCTATGATACAATTAACAGTCCTCTGATCTTTCTCTCTACCTAAATCTGGAATGTTCCCCCTTGACCTACCTGAGAAATGGGCTATTTATGCTGGGATAAGCTCAAAAATTATTTTTGAGGCAACAGAGAGCTGAGATGAAGATGTTTCTCTGAACATCCTGATGTCCCTTGTCAAGAGAAGGTAGTCTATCACTGAAGGGATGGTAAACTGAGCATCAGGGGGAGGGATCATTTTACAGTTCAGTGGCTACCACCAAAAAGGCCCTTCTCTTTGTTACCACCAAGCAAGCCTCCCTCAGTGGTTGCACCTGGAGGAAAGCCTTGGATACCCATATTCATGTTCGGGTAGAAGGTGCTTGGGAGAAGCATTCCATCAAAGT